GGTAGGAGCGAGCACCACTTCCCTTGGAAGTTGGTTCCAGCTCCTAGCTGCCATGACTGTGAAGTAGCGCCTCCTGATACCTAGCTTGAATCTACTCTTGATCAACTTATGAATGTTATTCCTCATTACTTTTGGTAGTGCTAGGGGGGAACAGGGACTCTCCCATAGCCTACTGGTCCCCCTTGGCCAGTTCGTAGACGGCCACCAGATCCCCTCAGCCTTCTCTTGTGGAGGCTGAACAGGTTCAGGTCCCGTAGCCTCTCCTCGTAGGGCCTGCCTTGCTGCCCCCAATCATGCGAGTGGCCCTCCTCTGGACTCTCTCAATGCTGCCCACATCCCTCCTGAGGTGTGGCGCCCAGAACTGGACGCAGTACTCCAACTGAGGCCTGACCAGTGTCACATAGAGGGGGAGGATCACCTCCCTGGACCTGCTCGTGATGCATCTGTGGATGCATGACAAGGTGCAGTTAGCCTTCCTTTGGCGGCCCATGTTCATTTTGGAATCAGTAATGACTCCAAGATCCTTTTCTGCCTCTGTGCTGGCTAGAAGGGAGTTCCCCAGCCTGTAGGTCTGCTGCTGGTTCTTCTTCCCAGGTGCAGTACCTTGCACTTGTCAGTATTGAATCCCATCCTGTTCTCATCCGCCCACCCCTGTAACCTGTCTAGATCTAGTTGCAGCCTGTCCCTCTCCTTCAGCATGCCCACTTCTCCCCACATTTTATTGTCATCCGCGAATTTGACCAGGGTGCTTTTCACCCCCTCGTCCAAGTTGCTGATGAAGATGTTGAATAGTGCGGGCCTGAGGACTGAGCCCTGGGGGACCCCACTGCCCACGTCCCTCCAGGTCGAAAATTATCCATCCACCACCACTCTCTGGGTGCGGCCCTCCAGCCAATTAGTGACCCATCTGACTGTGTAGGCATCGACACCACAGTCGCTTAATTTCTTAATGAGAATGGGGTGAGAGACAGTGTCTAAGGCCTTCTTAAAGTCCAGAAAGACTACGTCCACTGCTACCCCTGCATCTAAGGATTTTGTGACTTGGTCGTAGAAGGCCACCAGGTTGGTCTGACAGGACCTGCCTCGAATGAACCTATGTTGGTTGCCCCTGAGCATAGTCTCCTCTGCTGGTCCCTCGCAGATGTGCTCCTGGATAATTTTCTCAAAGAGCTTCCTCATCTTAAAAATTGCACCACAGTTGCAACCCAGGCTCTCTTTGATTTTCCATTTATGGAGTAGGCATCTGCATTTTCCATGAAGTAATCAGATGCCTCTGTCCTCTTCATGTGTTGAATGCTGTAGTGAAGCTACTTTGAGGTGTTAGCTAAGTGCCTGTGAAGCTGATGGTTTTGTGTGACCTGTTCTTTTAAGATGGCAGCAGCTCCTGCTCTGGCCCAGCCTGTTGCTCCTTCGTCTCCAGCAGCATCTGCACCTGTGGCTGCTGCGCGTGGAGGACGAGTGATAGCTAGCCCCCTGGCAAAGAAACTGGCAGAAGAAAGAGGAATTGACCTTGCGCAGGTGAAAGGTTAGTTGTTCCTCCCATTGCTTTTGTCACCCAAGTGTTTGCCTTGCTTAAATATGTGGTTAGGTGTCCCTTCCCTCCCACTGTGCTGGAGATGTGTTTAAAACAAAAATCAGAGCCCGGCATCCAATGGCTGTGCTGAGCAATGCAGTCAGAATGGTCATTTTAACTTCTTCCCCAATGGGATGTTGCTTAAAATCCTCTTGTGTTTCCCTTGTCTCTTCACCAGGTACTGGACCAGATGGTAGAATCACAAAGAAAGATGTTGAGTCATTCGTGCCTCCAAAGGTTGCTCCTGTGAGTAGAATTTGCATTTGTGAGAATTTAGCAACATTATTGATCTTATAATAGTTAGTGCAGTGGAATCTATTGAAAGCTGTTGATAGCTATAACTGTCACTTGAAGGATGGGTCTCTGGAGGAGACTGACATTTGTGATTGTGTTGATGGCTGCACGGTTCTGAACGCCAGATCTGAAAGTGCTGAGGAACCAACATCTGTAGGATTTCAAAAGCATGAAGCAAGGTGGTTTCTTAACTTGCTTGTGCAATGCAACACCAGTGTGACAAGTTTTCTCTCCAGGTTTTTATATATTTCCTCATCACTGTGGCTTCAGAGCACCTTATGATGGTGTGCAACTGCAGTTGAATTAATGCAGCCAAGGAGAAACAGTTCAGAGAAAAGGCATGACTTTAAACTGAAAGTATGGTGCAGTCAGCCCCATTTAGTCCTTGTCAGTAGAGTTTGACCTTGCCTTCCATTCCAGCACATAGTAATGTGTATTTATAGAGCAACCGCCTCCTTCCCCCTCCAGGCACAAACCCCACTGAAACAAGATACTCCCATTGGGGAGGGGATGAGAGAACCAATATCAGTCATGTTGCTCAAGGCATTACTTGAAGCCACTAATTCCTCTGATGAAATTCTCTCCAGCTAAATCAGAGTAGGCTTTGCCCGTCACAATAGGCTTTGCCTATCACTAACATATTGCCCATCTTCCTTGGACTATATATGTGTGTGTGTGTGTGTGTACAGTTTTAATATGGCCCCAAACTGCACATTCTGGTAGAATATTACTGAGACCTTAACCTTGGGGGTGGAAATCTTTGAGGAAGAAAGGGTAGGAAGTGCCCTCTGCTTACTAGGAAGGGAGGGACGGGGACTAGAAGAAGCAATGGCAGGTCTCAAGACTCTTATTTTCCACACAGTAGTATTCATGAAAGTTGTCCTCAGTGCTGAGATTTGCTTCCGATGTTGATTTGTCCTCCCAACGCCCGAGCTGATGTTCAAGCAATGATTGATTGATTGTCTGTGTCTCCTTGCCTCCAGGCCCCGGAAGCAGTAGCAGCTCCCGCAGCTGCTGCAGTTCCGACTGTGGCAGCACCTCCCACAGGGGTCTTCACGGATATCCCTCTCAGCAATGTCCGGAGGGTAAGAAGCTTGCTTTCTCATTTTGTCTTTGGGTGTGCGAGTGTATCCAGAAATACAGCACTGATCATTGGGGGTTAGAGCTTCTTGGAAATCCTTTTGATTCCCCAAGACTAACATCTTTCTCAGACTGCCAGAACTTCAAGCTTTCCCGCTGTCCCTGCTTCTCTGTCCATTTCTTTCCTCTGTCTCCCAAAAGCCTAGAACAGAGGTATACGTCCTAGTTGATTAAAACTACAGAATCCATGGATTCACCCGTGGACTATTGTCTGATGCTTAGTGGCCTTTAGAAAGAGCGTTGGAGGTATTTGGGACTGCCAGGACAGCTCTGCTTCTGCTGTGTCTGGGAACTTGTTTTACAAAGTGTGTTGTGCTGTAGTGACTTCCTGTTTGCTTTCCTTAAGGTCATTGCTCAGCGTCTCATGCAGTCCAAACAAACAATACCTCACTACTATCTCTCCATTGATGTAAACATGGGAGAAATATTGGTGCTCAGAAAAGAACTCAATCAGGTAAAAACCTCTGGGGGGTTGTGGTGTGGGTGTGAGCGATGGGCCACCTGCTGATCAGCTGTTATTACAAGACTCCTGGGCTGTTCTTTGGTGATGTGCCAGCTTGGCTTGGAAAGCATAGGCTCCTTGCACAGCTGGCATGTGCTGCTCCTTCTCACCAGTTCTGGATCTTTTTTATGGCAGAGTGGAAAAGGTCTCATTCAGAAGCTGCCTGCTGCATGCTTTGACTTTCTCAAGCTTGTGCTGTGCTCCAGCCATGCATTACTTGGGCCTCAGTGAGCTAGTAGGGTAAATAGCGAGGACCTACATGTAAGCAAACCTTAAGTGAAAATAAAATGTGCCCCCAGCGTGAATGCGGAGTGGAAGGAAGGGAGTGAGTGCAGCTGCCTTAAGCCCACGTAATGCTTTCCAGTGTTCCTGCTTCGTACAGCTGTGCCAAATCAACTGTGACAGCTACAGAGTGGGTGGAAACACAGCATCTCTCTGAGATATTCTGCCTTTAAATGCAATGCTGCAGGGCAGCAAGTGTGCAGGCTAATTTGGTTTTTACGGTGACAAGTTCATTTTTCTGGTAAATTGCTGACATTTCAATCCTCTGTATGATCTGTGCAGGAGGTTGTGAAGGATGTTAAGCTTTCTGTCAATGACTTCATCATTAAAGCTTCAGCTCTGGCATGTTTGAAGGTGCCTGAAGCAAATTCCTCGTGGATGGACACAGTTATTAGGCAGTAAGTACATGGTTCAAGCAACTGTATTTTTTTTTTCTTTTTTTACTTTCAGTATGATGTTAACAGGGAAATCAGGGTGATTGCTCACTGCTGGTGAGAATGGGAACAGCTTACGTTTAAGGGGCTAGCACTGATGTTTTAAAATGTCTTTTTAAAATGCCTTTGTGAGTAAGGCCTGGTGGTAGACTTTCAGGCAGGAAGAGTGGCTGTTAACTTAGAGTGGCAGTGGCACTTCCTTCTGTGTATCCTGCTAGAGTGAACCAGGCTCTGTCCCCATTGTGTCTTGCAGAAATCATGTAGTGGATGTTAGCATTGCAGTGAGTACTCCTGCTGGGCTCATAACCCCCATTGTGTTCAATGCGCACATAAAGGGACTGGCTTCTATTAATAAAGATGTTGTTTCTTTGGCAACTAAAGCACGAGAAGGTAAACTTCAGCCACACGAATTTCAGGTGAGGAACCCAGAGTGTTTGTAACAACTGCAGCTCTGATTGTGTTCCTGATTATAGGAAATTGTTTTCAGTTTTTCTTGTGTGACTTAGGAACTGACCTGTCTATTCCTTGATGTGCTTAAAGCCATATGAAATGACCTCTCCAAAGTTCTGTATATTAACATGCACTTATGTCTTCTAGGGAGGCACTTTCACAGTTTCCAATTTAGGAATGTATGGGATTAAGAATTTCTCTGCCATAATCAATCCACCGCAAGCTTGTATTCTGGCAGTTGGTACATCTGAGAAAAGGCTGGTGCCAGCAGATAATGAGAAAGGGTAAGCATTAATTTAAAAGCTTAGACATTAAGATCTCACATTCCATTGACATTGGAATAACTGTCAGTGTCCAGCCGCCCCATTGGATGACCAGTGCTTTGCAGTGTCTGTGCCACTCTTGCTATGGGTTAGTTGTCAAATTAGAGTACAGTCATACGACTTAAATGCTCGTTCCCATGAAAGGCCCCATGGGTGGTGATCTTCCTGCCCTGCATATATATTACCGAGAGCATGAGCTGGCAGACCCAGAGTGAGGTTTTACTGTAACTAGGTCTGCGTTTGTATAAAGAATCTGATCTGTGTGTTCCAAAAGAACACCAAAAGGTGCTGCTAACTTGTAGGAAAGGAGGTGTATGATCTGCTTTGTCATGTAGATCACTTATTACCGGCCTTTGGAGAAGTGTGAATGTAGAACTGAGCACTACAGTATTAACGCCCTTTGGTATTTGAGGTAAAAGTCCTGGGTGTTGGATCAGTGTTGCTGGTAAGCAGATAGCCACTAGTTGATTTTGCAGAGTACCAAATCTTGGGACTCCCTTTCTTTCCCCAGATTTGACGTGGCCAGCATGATGTCGGTAACGCTTAGTTGTGATCACCGAGTTGTGGACGGAGCAGTCGGAGCCCAGTGGCTTGCTGAGTTCAAGAAGTTCCTTGAAAAGCCAACAACCATGCTGCTATAATCTGACCATGCAACCAAGACTTTCCTAGGCCACATTCATTTCTAAATGAGCTATTTATATTTCAGTGTTTAGACTCCTCTTAAACAAATGTTCCTTTTTTATTTTAAATATATATATATATTCACTGGTAATTTTTATTACCAGTCTGTACAGATAAATAGTTTGCAAAAAGGCTTTACAAAGCAATGGAGCAATGCTGTATTTTATACAGTCAATGATCTTGCAAACTTCTTTCCAAAAAGGTCAAGTGTCCTGGATTTAAAATTATGTGAGCAGGGTATGCTTTGTCATAATTTTGTCCTAATTGAGGGGGAAAGTGGTGGGAACATGCCCAGTTAATTGGTGATCTCTTGTGTTCTCAAAAGTAGGAGACCTAGATCTGTTCACGGGAGTCCCTAGAAGCTGAAATCTACAGCCTATTACAAAAATGTGTTCCACTGGTGATCTGTTCTCCTGCTAATATTAGTGAGAGCAGCAGGTGCGCTGCGGGAGGAATAGACCTCTTGGAATAACTTCTCACAGGGTGAAGTGTTTTGCATTTCAAAGGCTCTTGGGAGTTCAGCACTGGTTCAGATTTTACCAGCTACATGGACCCTTTTAGAGCACTTTAAGGCAAACAGAAACTGTAGAGTCAGCTCTTTTAAGTGCTACGGAGAATGTGCCCCCTTCTTTGGATTTTAACTCGTATGCATTTTTATATGAACTCCATTGTCTTAAATGGCTTTCCCATTGCTTAGTTCCCAATATATTCTGTTGCAGTGGAAATGCTTGTTTTGCCTAAGGGTCAGGAGAATGTGTGTTGAAATGTGTATTGACATATGCAATTGGGCCATCAGGAATCATTTACATGACAGCTTGGAGGTCTGAAAAGTGATTTTCGGGTGTCCTTGATGTGGGAGGCTTTAAGACTAGTAGAAGAGTCAGGTAGTGCTGTTGTGACATGGAATGTCTCTTGTCCCAGCGTCAGGAAACTGCAGAATGTGCTGTCTGTGTATATATTGTATGTAAACGGCTTTAAATGGTTCTCCATTGGGCTTGTGTTCAAATACACTAATCACTGGGTCCTGCAAAGGGGGGCAGGGTGCATAGGTGAACACTCCTAAATTCCACTTTCCAAATAGAAATGTTAATGTAAAGAGAAGGATTGTAGAGTTGATCAGCAACATGACCAGTAGGAAAATTTGAAGAAGAGAGGGAAGCTGACCTGATCCCTTCCACACTGCATTAAGTTCTGTCTCCTCCAGCGTTGTGCTACAGAATCCACAAAACATAATGCTGAAAGAATATTTTGTGGAAATTAAATATTTTTGTGACCACTATTTAATGTTCTACTCAGTTAATTGCAGTGATGCCTAATTTTATTGGTTGGGTTTAAAAAAAAACAAAAACAAACCCATGTGATTGCAATTAAGTTTAATAATGATTTAATTATCCCTGTTCCAGACTCTAGTGAACCTGTGTGTTCCATTAAATGTTTGGAATTGGCAGACTACTAAGAATTGTTTCAGTGCTTTTTCTGTTCATTAATGCATGTAGTTTACCTCCCCTGCTCTAATGCTCACACTGTCAAAACCGTTGTCCTGCTCTGGTTTGATGGACACAACTTATATTGTTAACCTTTAACTTCCAGTTCTCAGTGGGGCAGTGCAGTCTCTGACAAAGCATTGTCGGGTAGCTCTAGACTGATTTGCTTCAGACTCTAGTGCTAGACTTTGCATGATTTGCCTGCTGTTTAAAATGTCTGCGTAAGGAACTTCTGGACGCTTTCATTACCCTCTTCCTCGTAATCCGAACATTAACCAACCCAGGAGCTAACTAAAGGAGGACAATTCCAGCAAATGCCCAACTGGGAAGCTTGCTGGCATAACAGAATGGTCCATTCAGGTATACGAGTATCCCTGGCTTCGGGTTGCGTGCAGCATTCTGCGGTTCCCTATCCACCCTGCAAATGAGGCAGCTCAGAGTAAAGCCCTTTTTCTCATTCGGAATTCTTAATTAAGTATAGAAAATAAAATGCAGTTGTTAGATGCAATCTAATTGTCTCAGAACAAAAGGAGAGGAAAGTTAGGAGTAAACAGCTGTTCAAATGAAATACAATGATACCTTTAACTTGTGTGTTCCATTTTCTAATCTGGTTTTAAACATTGTTCCTGTGCTGTACTGTTCTGCTGCAGTTCGCAAAAGGAATGTGGTATAAAGTTGCCAAACAAACAATCAAGAAATAGATGTTTTATTTCCTCATTTAGAGAAACTGGAAAATGACCCTGTAGTACATCAGGAGGTCATTTATCTTCAGAAGAAAACTGATTTTTGTATTTCCCTTTCTCAACCACCACAGAACCGATTTTCATCACTCGCATTTTAGTTGGTTTATGCTCTTTCTGAATGCTACCTAGTATCTTAGACCCCTTTCCTAGATGCTGGGCTGCTTTAATGGTGACATCTTCACTCACAGGTATTTCTGAGTTCTGTTATTCATGGGCAGCCTGTGTGTATGTGTGGGGGTCAGGCAGCGCAGTGACAGATAGAAGGAGAAATTAAAGCAGCAGATCAGGCTGGGACCATGGGGCACAGTAGCTGATCAGGCAGGGGAAGGGGATCAGAGTGGCACTTAAGATACAGGGCTAATCTGTGGCATGCATGCCAAAAAGGCTGGCCCCTAGTGCTGTAAACAATCCATCTCTGAACTGGCAAGATAGTTCTGGGGCACTGCTGTTCTGTTGTCTAGCTTTGAGATCACAACATGCTTGATAAGGAGTAGGTTAAGGCTCATCCTCTCAGCACAGCTCCCCATAGCCCTCAGCCATTTAGGCAGCCAACAGCTGAATAGGCTATTCTTTTTTAAGTTAAAAAATATCCCCTGTGGAATGCCATGGAACAAAAGCAGGAAGCTTGTATTTTTGTCTCTCCTAGGCCTCTTCAGTCTATTAATGAAAAAGCTTTGGGTCCAGCATCTTTAACTGCATTAAATCTACTTTTTTAAGAGGAAAAAATGCTGGTGGGAGCAGCTAGGGGAATGGATAGAACATTTCTTCAAAGATAAGTCTCTTTTCTTATGAGGAAACCAAATTATATAGCAAGGTTTGTATGTAGATGATTTTAATTAGTATTACATGTATTAAAATAAATGTTGTGAATAACCCTTCAATGCTTACAACTTTTAGGAAGAATTAAAAAAAAAAAAAACAACTTTAACACTCCAATCTCTTTAGACTAAGGCTACCTGTTCTGTTTGTACCCTACATTATATTGCTCTTTAACATTTAAATAGGAACAGATTCCTAGAAGAGTGATAACAATTTGTATCCAGTGGTAAGAGATCTGCCATCGACCTTCCCATCCTTAAAAAACCTGCTGCCCCTAATGTTCTGTCTGGGAAACTGGCATTGTGATCAGCAACACACGCTTCCCTTTGTCGAATGTGGCTGTAGCTGCTTCTTCATTGATTAACTCTGGCAGATCCAGCTGTAATCTGTATTTCTCGGGAACCTCGATGACTAGATCATCCTAAAAGAGGCAAATAAAAATACTCAGTAATGCAGGCCCTTAATAGTCTCAATTAGAAGTGAAGGGGGATCCTGTAGATGTGCAGCAAGGCTGCTTCGATATCCTGTAAATCCACTTCAATGGAGCAAATTCGATTAATCGAGTCTGCTGGAGCACAGAAATTAACGTGATGCAGCAGCCTCCAGCATCATGCGTATCAGCGTCCCTGCAATGAAAAATGGCAGCGGGGTTCGATGAGCTTTAGTTCAAACTGCCCTGCTGCATTTTTCAGTGCAGGGATGCTGATACACGTGACAGTTGGGCATTTTTAATTATTGCGGCTTGCTAATTAAAGCACCCCCCCCCTTCCCGGAGCACATCTGTAATGCCCAAAGGTTTTCTGGGAATGTTTAGAATCAACTGAGAGAAGACACGAGGTTATCATCATCCCCAAGGGATGACAAGGTCAAACAGTCACAAACTCCTCCAAGACCATTTCAGGCTGGACATAAGGAAGAACTTCTTTACAGTCCAAGCCCCAAGGCCTGGAACAGGCTGCTGCCAGAGGTGGTGCAAGCACCTACTCTGGACTCCTTTAAGAGTCAATTGGACGTTTATCTTGCTGGGATCCTGTGACCCCAGCTGACTTCCTGCCCTGGGACAGGGGGCTGGACTCTGATCTTCCGAGGTCCCTTGCAGCCCCGATGTCTGTGAAGTCATTTCTGTTCAACTTGCCTTTGACATGCTCAGGTCACATTCTGAAATGGAGATAACTTTCGGCAGTTCAACCTTCAGTTCAATCTTTATGGGTTTCTTGTTAGTATCTGGCACGACGGTCAATTCATAGAGTGGTGCGCCGAGTTCTTCCGGCACCTCTGTACTGGCAATCTCCTCTATCAGAGGCACTTGAGACGGCGTGACTTCCTCCTCCAGCAGGAGCGTAGCATCATGGCTCTCCTCTGCTTTTGCCCTGTGTATCAGCTGGTCAAGTGTCAGCCCTTTCCCATCTGAAAAATGTTTTACTGAAGTTATTCTTTCATTTCTAAGAGGCTCTTGTTGTAGGCTGTAACTAATCTAACCCCAAGCGACAGAACTGTGCCATTGCTAAATGTAAGTTTTGCAATCAGGAACTCAGCAGCTTGGGCTGGTAACTTAACTACTTGTATGTAAGTGGTTTGGCATTTAAAGCTTCCACCAGGATCAAGCTTGAAGCTCAACCAAGACTGGCTTCAACCACCTGTTGATTTCTGAGAGTGGGAACCGGCTTTTATAAACTGATCTGGCAGGGGCTGCACTGAAGGGGGGAGCTGAGCCTCTCTCCCATCTCGTGCCGCCACCTACTCACCCCTCCTCGCCTGCTCCTGGAGACATGGTCCTGGTGTCTGCCCTCTTCTCAGACTCTCCCTCATCCTTTCCAGGCTCCCTTTCAGTTTGAACGGTGCAATGTGGTAGGCATACGACAAAGTGAGGCTGTAACGCTCCTCGATGAATTTAAGTGTCAGCCGGATCAGCTGGTCCAGTTCTGCTCCGTTCTCTTCTCCCCTCTGAAGAACGTGGGGGTTGTACGCGACATCCACCACGCTGTAAGGCTCTAAAAAACAGCGAGTGACACCAGCGTGAAGCGCTTGCTCAGCAGGAGCTCGTTTCATTGACCCTCGCATCACCCCGTCCTGTCCCACCCCCCCCCAAATTAAAATAATTAGTTGTATCTTTCACTCTTCCGTCCCACAGGGTGGGAGCTATTAGTTAACCGCGTGGGCCTTTAGACCCGTATCCCCCGGAGCAGATACAGACAGACAGGAGCGTGTTTCAGAAAACCGACTTGTAGACAATACCGATCCAGCCAAGTGTTTGTCACTCGGGGATTAAAAAAGTTCATCTAACACGGGACGGGGGGAGGTTTCAGCCGGGGGTACGCGTGCCCCTGGGGACGGCCTCGGGGGGCCGCCGGGACCCCCAGGCTCGTCGGCTGGCCGCCCGCCGGGGGCACG